GATACTCACCTTTGCAGGAAGGTTCCAAACTAGCATCCAGTTGGCAAACAGGGGTGAGTGTGTTGTAATTCAACACAGCTCTATACTCAAGTAATGGTGAATGATGGATATTTATCAATAACAACATCCACACTAGAATCAGCAACCAATCAGGACTCAGAGAATAGTGATTTTTCGAGTGTAGTTTGGATGAGGCACAAGGCCAAAAGTAAGGGGCACTCAGTGAAGTAGGACTCAGAAAATAAGACTGCCTAAGTGGCAGAATAGAACATTTCAGCTTACTATGTATACCAGCTGTTCTAACTGCTGGGGACCAGAGGGCTTACAATATAACAAAGCACTAATCTGGTTATTCAATAGTGTTCCCATGTGGAAATATTGTTCGTGCCCTAACCATCATGATCCAGTGTTTGATTCTGGTCCTACTGATTTTGCTGTCCCTCTTCATTAGCAGATACCCAACCAATAAGAAAATCTACTGATACCTCATCTTCATGAATTTAAGCACAGTACTAGATTGGCAGTTAGGTCTCATAATTTTCAGAGTTGAACTTGCTAGTTCTATTCAACTGCTTCTTCTCTCACTCTTCTCAGTTGTGGGACTTTTCTGGCTTCTGCTTTCCTGTCAACTACAATCTACAAAATTTAAATGCAATGATAATCATCAACTTCTGCCTTCTTGAAACCTGCTCTTTTATTGTCCGCTCTGTTTCTTTCACTCTGAGTAACCCATTACATCTTAGTGGCTTTATTGCCCTGCTTGTCAAAAAGTAAATTTATTTATAAACATGCAATTGTCAGTCAACAAACTTCTAGTAATTTTATCTGAAATAATCATTTATAGCTATGTAATTATTAGTTTAGCATCCACATAATTAGATATATCTACATCGCCACATATCTGCCTTGTCAATTAACTTGGAAGCTTTTGTCACCCCATTGACAGTTTAATCATGACGTCAGCTACCTTGCGATTCAAGCTATCATTGATAGTAAAGCTTGATCATTGAACAATATTAACATTGGCAGTTGAGCAACTCTAAGTCTTCCGATAATCACACTTACAAGTCTGCCCACGTCACAGGGTAGATTACCGTACTGATTCCTGCCTGCTGACTGAGGCAGTGGCTTAATGAAAATACTACTAGTAAACACTCAGTATAATGCAGATGCAGAAGCCAATTGCAACCGTTATTAGTACCCGCACTCGTCGGTCAAAGAGACGATATTTAGTGTGCTGTCTCTGCAGAAAGACAACAACCCTGCCAGAACAGAGCTAGTGCAAACCCTGGAACATGAAGAAAGAAAGTATCAGCCAGCTTCCTCATTAGATAGTTGGAAGGGTGAGCAGAGCGGTTTTAGCTAGGCAAATGATTCCTTTGCTAGCCAACTGCTAAAATTTTAGGCTCCACAAAAGCAAACATATTTTGGGGGAATAAGGAGAGCTTGGCAGCACACTGCATTGACAACACAACAGGACTGCTGTGCATTACCAAGGATTTTGTTTGTGTTAGCCAGCGTCATTTCAGATTTGTTCATCGTTGCTTGTGTTTCCAATGTTTCGGCTGTATTCGTCCTGTACATGTGGTGTTCCTATGTGGAAGTCTTGTCCATGCTCTGCTTGTTGTGATCAAGAGTTTGATTCCAGTGCTGCCGAGTTTCTAATTCTTCTTCCTTGGCAGATATCCATCCAATAAGAAAATCTCATCAAACAGGTAAAAACTAGGGAATGCAATTAGCAGGTAAAATTTTGATAAATTGTTCACAGCAATCTTTGAGCATGTGCAGCAGAGTTGGGGAACAGACTTCAATTTCTGGATCAGCCTGATTGCATTTACTTTCTCACAAATGCCCTTGGGAAAGACATGGATTCATTTTTTTCTTCACCCACCAGCTATGGGTCAAATAACAGGACAGTCACTTTGAGTAGCAACCAGTCAAATAGATGCAAAAACTTTGAATTCCAAACTGTAGAGAAGGAAAGGCAAAAATCACTCCCCTTTTTTCCCCCCAAAATTGCATGCCAATTTTTTTGTTGTTGTTTTACAGCTTATGCGGATAAGTGCAGAAGATAACGGTTAACCTTGGACTTGAACAGGTTCAGACTGTAGTGATTGGGGAAGTACCGCTATAGAAGTTGGTTCCACAAGCCTGCAGTTCATGGGAAGAAGCTGCTTGAGTAGAACTTACATTTCACCAGGGGCATATGAAGAGAATGAGAGTGGTTTCCTACAACGGGCGTGGCATGGCAAGTCTGTAATTAATAGTTAATAATAAAAAGGTATCTTTTGTTTTTTAATTATTAAAATTCACTATTCGAAGTGAAGGCTTACTGTTAAAATGGTTATGATGAATGAGGCGTGTGATAGGAATGAAAGATGTGGTGATAGGAAGTTAAGATCAGGAGAATATGGAGTATGAATACTGACCGACTCTTGACTTGCAGAGGTTAAGATTCTAGAATTCAGAGAAGCATTCATTCAGTAGTCTGTTGGACAAAGTGGCAGATCTTAGGCAAAATCCGTCAGAGTGGAACTTGCTTCCTGTATTTTGAACCTAGCTGTGGAAGTGGCACAGTGTCTTCTACCAGTAATGGTCTGAACTGGTAGAACCAAAGAATGAAGCTTACTTGAATATTTACTATGAAAATAGCAAATGATTAGTGAGTGCCTTAGCTGTAACGATCTGAACTGGTGGAACCAAAAAATAGAACTCACCTGAATATTTGCTATAGGAATAGCGATATAATAGTGGCTGGTTTATGATGTTCCATCAGTGGGAAAGGAGACTTGGAGTGGAGATTATCCCATCTATTATAACCTTAATTCTGTATGTTACTCTATACAAGGCCTAAGAGCTACTTGAAGATGAGGGTCACAGAGGAAGAGTTAAGATGTCCACAGCTGATGGGGATACATGGGAATGATAACAGTTAACCCTAGACTTGAACATGTTAAGATTGTAGAGATCGAAGAACCAACCTCTTGGCAGTTGGTTCCAGAAAATAGTGGTTTATGAGAAAAAGCTTTTCAAGTGGGATTTACATCTCACTCATGGAATATGAAGAGAATGAGGGGATTGTATTCAATGTGCCTGGCATAGCGAGTCTTAGCCATGAAGGTTAGTACTGGTAGAACTTTGGAATGTAGTTAGACTGAACACTTTCCATAGAAATAGCATGACGGGTTTTGGCCATGAATGTTAGAAGTGGTGGGACTAAGGAATATATTTCATCTGAACCCGTTCCATGGAAATGACCGGTTTTAGCTATGATGGGTAGATTTGGTAGAACTAAGGAATATATTTCATCTGAACCCGTTCCATGGAAATGACCGGTTTTAGCTATGATGGGTAGATTTGGTAGAACTAAGGAATATATTTCATCTGAACCCGTTCCATGGAAATGACCGGTTTTAGCTATGATGGGTAGATTTGGTAGAACTAAAAGGAATATTTCATCTGAACCCGTTCCATGGAAATGACCGTTTTAGCTATGATGGGTAGATTTGGTAGAACTAAGAATATATTTCATCTGAACCCGTTCCATGGAAATGACCGGTTTTAGCTATGATGGGTAGATTTGGTAGAACTAAGGAATATATTTCATCTGAACCCGTTCCATGAAATGCCCAGTTTTAGCTATGATGGGTAGATTTGGTAGAACTAAGGAATGTAGTTTCTCTGAACACTTTCCATGGAAATAGTGGAGCAAGAGGCTTTCAACATTTCATCAGTGGGAAAACGGTTATAATCTGGAAAATATTAACCGTGGACATTCTTGAACTCTATTGAAACTGAAGACTTGGCAGAGATGGCCTATGTACAGCATCAATACTCCACTTTCAGCTTGATCTAGCTCTTGTAACAGTAGAGGATAGAAAAAGGAGTCAGGTGCTTATTGGAGCTGTACAAGGAATGGGTCATTTTTCCATAATCTTAATCAATGTATGAGTTCCACTTGAGGAGAGGGGTGAACTTAAGTGCCAATTTAGGGTCTGCTCAGTGATGATAGAATATCACTACTTTTGTTTTTGTAGCATTGAATATGGCATTGTATGGATCTGTTATAGCAAATTCATTATCTGAGATAAGCATAAAATAGGCTGTGCTAGGGATAGTTTCAACCAACACTGCTCTTTTGTAACCCTCTGATCTGAGAAAGCTATCTTATATATAGCTTACAGTTTAGATGTATCTGAACAGGTTTGGTAGTATGCATGATATCCATATGAAAAATTTGAAATAATGAGATTATTTAAGAATATGATTCAAGTTTTTAGGTGTTGGGTGAAACACCTAAGAGAAAAAGTGGCAGAAGAGAGGAGAGAAGAAATTGGAGGAAAATGAGAGAAAGAAAACAGATAAATGGAAAGAGAGAAAAGAAACAGTGAACAGAAAGAGAGAAAAGAAACAGAAGGAAGGAAAGAGAGAAAAGAAACAGAAGGAAGGAAAGAGAGAAAAGAAAAAAGAAGAAAGGAAAGAGAGAAAAGAAAAAAAGAAGAAAGGAAAGAGAGAAAAGAAACAGAAGGAAGGAAAGATGGAAAGAAAAAAGAAGAAAGGAAAGAGAGAAAAGAAAAAAGAAAAGAAAGGTAAGAGAGAAAGGAAAAAAGAAGAAAGGAAAGAGAGAAAAGAAACAGAAGAAAGGAAAGAGAGAAAAGAAAAAAGAAGAAAGGAAAGAGAGAAAAGAAACAGAAGGAAGGAAAGAGAGAAAAGAAACAGAAGAAAGGAAAGAGGGAAAAGAAACAGAAGAAAGGAAAATGAGAAAAGAAACAGAAGAAAGAAAAGAAACAGACAAATGGAAAAAGAAAAAAAAAAGGAAAGAGAGAAATAAACAGAAGTCCAAAACCTAAAAGAAACAGAAGAAGTCATGTTTTTCAATAGTCTCATGAGTTTAAAACTTTCTTATCGATATCATGCATGACACCAAATCTCTCCAGAAATATCTAAATTGTCAGCTGCATATACAACACCTTTTCAGATCAAAGAGAAAATGGAAGAGAGAAAAAGCCTGTAGGTCTTAATGAGGCTCATCCTTCTTTGAATCTGCTGGACTGATTCTACAGAATCGCAAACAAAGAACTGTAAGAAATAAAGAAAACAAGAAAGGAAAGAGAGAAAAGAAACAGAAGAATAGCAGCAACAAAAAACAGAACTCAAAGAGAAAATAAAAAACATTACAAAGGAAAAATGAAAAGAAAAAAGAAGAAAGGAAAAGAAACATCAAATGGAAAGAAGAAAAAAAGTGAACTGCTGAGAAACATATTTCCAAAAAAAAAAAAATTTCTTTTAACAGTAAATTTAATAAATTTCTACTAAAATTATTACCGGCTGCTCAGCTAATGAATGTCGAATGTTTCATTATAAGGAAACGGCTAATATTACCATTAGAGATGAGGAGAACAGATAGGTCTTAATGAGGCTCATCCTTCTTTGATCCTGGACTGATTCTACAGAATCGTGAAGAAAAGAACTGTAAAATAGAGACAACACTGGCTGCTCGTTTAGTGAATGCCAAATGAAACAGAACATTATAAATAAAAATGATATTAACATTACCAAAAAAGTTAGAGATGAGGAGAACAGATAACAGTGAACTTTGTCCCATTTCGAAAAAAAAAAAATCAACAGTAAATTTAAAAATTTCTAAAAATTAGCACTGGCTGCTCGGTAATGAATGTCGAATGTTTCATTATAAGGAAACGGCTAATATTACCATTAGAGATGAGGAGAACAGATACTACACTTTGATCCCAGCCCGATGGCCAGGGAGTGAAGAAAAGCGTAAAGAGTAGCACTGGCTGCTCGTTTAGTGAATGCCAAATGTTTCATTATAAGGAAACGGCTGATATTAACATTACCATTAGAGATGAGGAGAACAGATACTACACTTTGATCCCATCCCGATGGCCAGGGAGTGAAGAAAAGCGTAACAAGTAGCACTGGCTGCTCGGTCAATGAATGCCGAATGTTTCATTATAAGGAAACGGCTAATATTACCATTAGAGATGAGGAGAACAGATACTACACTTTGATCCCAGCCCGATGGCCAGGGAGTGAAGAAAAGCGTAAAGAGTAGCACTGGCTGCTCGGTCAATGAATGCCGAATGTTTCCTTATAAGGGAATGGCTACTATTATCATCACCATTGCTCTCATAAAAGAATGATTTTGATTTTTCTTTGATAAATACATTGGATCTCTAATTTGTCAGAACCAATTACCAGACAAAGGACACAGCACAGAGTTCATCAAGTGATAATATGAAGTTAACAGATTAGAGAACATACCACTTGAGAAAGAATTTCCTATTTTGTGTGTTACATTTGTGAATGCAGCAAATGCAATGCAGCAAAATCATCAGTTGTCATCCTTTGATGAATTCACTTCTAATGGAAGCAAAAAGAGTTTAAAAAATCTGTTCCCAAGGGGTTACTGTTTTTCTCTCTTTGTGCTTGAATAGCTTTTTTTAAATTTAAAATTGATAAGTTTGTTTGGCTTTTTGCACTTGAAAATACAATATATAAGGAAAACAGAAAAAGATAGAAAAAGAGGCAAAAGAAATGGAATGAAAACATGAGAGAAGAAAAAACAGAAGTTAGGAGAGAAAAAGAAACATGAGAGGAAATAGAAGAAAAAACAGAAGGTGGGTGACAGAAAAAGAAGAGAGAGAGGAACAAGGAAAGGAGAGAGAGAAAAAAAACAAAAGAAAGGAAAGAGAGAGAGAAACAAAAGAAAGAAGAGAGAAAAAACAAAAGAAAGGAAAGAGAGAAAAACAAAAGAAAGGAAAGAGAGAAAAAAACAAAAGAAAGGAAAGAGAAAAAACAAAAGAAAGAAGAGAGAGAAAAAACGAAAGAAAGGAGAGAGAGGGTGAGAGACAAAAGAAAGGAGAGAGAGAGAGAAAAGAAAAGAGAGAGAGACAGAAGAAAGGAGAGAGAGAGAGAGACAGAAGAAACGAGAGAGAGAGAAAAGAAAGGAGAGAGAGAAAGAAAGGAGAGAGAGAGAGAAAAGAAAGGAGAGAGAGAGAGAAAAGAAAGGAGAGAGAGAGAAAAGAAAGGAGAGCGAGAGATAAAAAAGGAGAGCGAGAGATAAAAAAGGAAGAGAGAGAGAAAAGAAAGGAAGAGAGAGAGTAAAGAAAGGAGAGAGAAAAGAAGGAAGAGAGAAAAACAAAAGAAAGAAGAGAAAAACAAAAGAAAGGAGAGAGAGAGAGAAAAAAAAGAAAGGAGAGAGAGAGACAAAAGAGAGGAGAGAGAGAGAGACAAAAGAGAGAAGAGAGAGAGACAAAAGAGAGAAGAGAGAAAAAAAGAAAGAAGAGAAAAACAAAACAAAAGAAAGAAGAAAAAAACAAAAGAAAGAAGAGAGAAGAGAGAAAAAGCAAAAGAGAACAAAGAGAAAAAACAGAAGAAAGGAAAGAGAAAAAACAGAAGAAATAAAAGGAGAAAGATGACAAGTGAGGAAGAGGAAAGTAATGAAAGGAAAAAAAAAAAAGGAAGAGATAAAAACATGAAAGAGAGCGAAAATCAAGAAGGTGAGAGGAAAACAGTAAAGACAGAGGAAGAGAGAGAAAACGAGAGAAAAGATGAGAGAGTGGAAAAAAGAGAAGTGGTGAAGAAGAAAGCAATAATCAATGTTGGAGATTTATAGCCAGAAACAAATTGAGACTAAAACAAGTGAATATTAAAAATATGAAAGATTTCACAAAATAAGAAACAAGTTCAAAAGAGAAGACAAGAAATATTCCATTTGTGATGTCAATTAAGAACATCTTATAAAAAAAGGAACTATGAAAACCTGTTATAAATTCCCAAGACAGGAATTGAAGAGGCAGAAAGTGTTTGCCAATTACCATTTTTAATTGAGCATCTAATTATCAAAGCGCTGAAAAAAAAAAAAAAAGAAAAAAAAATCAACGTTACTTCAAAAGTAACTTGAGAAGATCTCTTCAAATTCTTTATTTTTTTAAGTTGATGCAAAAATCTCTAGTGTCATATTTTGAACAGTGTTCGTTAAATCCTAGAATTATCTTTGAAAGAATAAAAAAAAAAGTTCTTAGAATCACAGGCATAAATATATATTGAAGAATGTTAGGAAATTCTTACAAGTAACTTTTAAGCAAATAAATAAAAAAACCTGCTTGGAGACAAGTTTTTGTGTCCTCATGTAATAATTACAAAGATGTCCGCAATGAGACAAAGTGTTTGTCTGTTGAGAGAATGAAGCACCGTAGTGCCTCTCAAAAGTCTGGTTCTCATGGCTACCAGCAGTTCTGGAATAGAGGCTTAATTAAGGGTAAGTCCTTGATCCCTCTTCTTTTCACTCAATTTGAGGGGTTATTTTCTACTAATAAAGAAGAATGATTAAAATAAAATATTTATATATTTTAATGATTTCACTTTAAGCAAGGCAATGAGGCCACTAAGACACAAGGGCTTACTGAGTGTGAGAGAATATAATAAAAACATTATTAGACAGCACAATAAAAGAACTGGAATTAAGAAAACAGAAGATAACGATTGACATTGCATTTAAATTTTTGAAGATCAAAGGCAATAAAGCCACTATGATGCAAGGGGTTACTGAGTGTTAGAGAATATGAGAAAAACTACTATTAATGAGAGAGGACAATAAAAGAACTGGAATTAAAATAAAGAAGATAATGATTGACATTGCATTTATATTTTTGAAGATCAAAGTTGACTGGAAAAGCATGAAACCAGAATAATGTTCTACAAGTGAGATGTGCAAGAGAAGGGACTGTTATCATAGGACTTATGGTTACAGCTAGCTATTTCAACTGTAAAATGGTGAGACCTCTCCCCCAATCAAGTAGTGCGGTTAAATTCACGAAGTTGAGGTACCAAAGAGAAAAGTACATCAGAACAGTTATCATGGAAATATTTAAATAAACGGCACTAGGAAGCTACATTACATCTCAACTTCAGTCACTTTCACACTGCCATGATATAGCTTCCCACTGTCTTTTCTACAAATATTCCATGGAGACTGATCTAATGAGCTCCTTCACTTGGTACCCCGACTGCATGAATTTAAGCATGCTACTAGATTGGCAACTAGGCCCATCATGTTGCTGTTGAAATAGCTAGATGTAAGTTCTATTCAAATAGAATTTTTCCTTGCACTTCTCACCTGTGGAACTCTTTCCCAGTTTCTTGCTTCCCAATATATTCGTTCCATCTCTAAAGTATTTTAATTGCAACATCAATCACTATCTTTTGAATTCACACAGTTGGTGTACGAGTGAAAGTAGCTCGTCAAAGCAGTTGCCATGAAAATATCTGTAGAAAAGACAGAGGGAAGCCACATCATGTCTGTGAGAAAGTGACTTCAGTCGAGATGCCAGGTCAGGACCTATCACATTGCATTATCATATTCTGTGTTGGCTTCCATAGGGTTATCAATTTACAATGAATTTACACAGAAAACAGGACCCTTTTAACTTTTATAAAAATTTTAAGAAATCATACCTGTAGAGAAATGCATGTAAATAATTGTCTAATTAACATAGCTGAGGTATAGAGACTAGATAAGTGACCAAGCAGTATTGGGCAGGGGCAGATGATGATACACAAGATTAAGAAATTACCACCAGGGGGATCAATTTAAAATGAATTTACATAGACAAATGAACCCCCTTTTAACTTTTATAAAATTTTAACAATTCACATAATATTAGCATATGTTATTTTGGATTGTGAATTTAGATAGCAAACTTGACCCCACCTTGGCTTGTGCAGGTGAATCAATTTACAATGAATCTAGATAAAAAACTGGACCCTCTATTGAGTTTTATAAAATTTTAACAATTCATATCATATTAGCATATGTAGTTTTGGCTTGTTTAGTGGGATCAATTTACAATGAATTTAGATAATGAATTCAACCCCCCCACCCAATAAATATTTTAAAAAAAAATATTATATTTCTGATCTGGATTATTTAAGCTATAATAATTTGAAAAAGAAAAATTATTTCTGGTCACAGTGCCGAGTGTACAACTCCGCCCAAATATGGAAAAAAGTCTACAGGTAGACTTACCATGACCAATACAAAGAGAACAAAAATCCTTTTACTTGCCTTTAAGAATTCCCTGAGCCATAATTTTAAAGTATTTTCAGGCTGAAATGGAAAGGAAAAAAAGAACGATAATGATCTCTCCTCAGAAATAATTTCAGTACAAAATGATGTACAGGAAATATCTGAACAAATCATGTAAGATAGAATATGCAAAAACTAGTGGGATGTTTAATTTTTTTTATTCTGTTGCCAATGTTTTCTTCAATAAGTGCATCATCAGAACTGAAAAAAAAAAAAACAAAAAAAAAAACATATAAAATTGAATCCTTACTTTGTTCTTCTTTGCAACACCCGTTGTTCAATTTGCAATATGAAGATCTAAACTAGAAAATTAAATTACAAATCAATCACTGAATTCACTTGCTTCCATTGTAATAGTCAATTTTCTGCAAAAAATGATACATTTATAGAAGAAACCGCAGTTAGATTCAAGGTTGTTCAAAATACATGTGGAATACATATGAATACATGTGGAATGCATATGGAATAACATGAATACAAATACATGTGGAAAATATTTTTAATATTTTATTTTTATTTGTTTTTTTTTGTACTTTTTCCCTTCAGAACATTTTTTTTAATCATTTCATCCCAATGAAGGCAATAAAACCACTAAGATGCAAGGGGGTCACTGAGTGTGAGAGAAGATAAAATAAAAAAAAAAAACATTGGTAAATCTGGACTTTTATGCTCACAAAAAACAAAGTGTCAAAAGAATGTGCTTTTTTCAGTGATGCCACTATTATTTTAACTACCTTCACTCCTCGCCAATATGCATTGTTTTAAAAAAGTGATGATAAGAATTGTAATAAAACCTAAACCTATGATGAAAGTGAATTTATACATTTTTGGGGTTCTTGAGAATTTGCAATAAAAATATTAAACACTATTTATTTATTAGATTGTTTTGTCGTTTTTTTTTTTACAAGAATAATTTCATATTTCAGTCATTCAATGTCAAATTAACAAAGGTCTGACCAATCACTGTGACAGATTTTGTCAAATTTAGTACATGTATAGAGCTTCATGATAGAAATTGAATGGTACCAATTTTACATCTCTAGGTCAATTGGTTCCGAGATAAGACCCTTTGACCCTTGCCAAAAAGGTGAATTAACAAAAACGGGAATTAAGAAGATAGAACGTAATAACTGATATTGCATTCAAATTTTTGAAGATCGATGTTGACTGAAAAGCAAGAAGCTGGAAGAGTGTTCCATAAGCGAGAAGAAACTGTTGACATGGAATTTATGGTTACACTCACCATTAAAAGAGCAAATGATGAAACCTAGCCACTTAAATTCATAAAGTCGAGGCACTAAATAGGAAAGCTCATAATAAAATTTACTATGAAAATATTGAAAGAAAGGGCATAGAGAAGTGTAGTGAATGAGATAATCAAGTACCTCGGAAAAAAGTTCGTGTTTTGTGTGCGATCTGCCGGGGAGGGATTGCCAAAAAGTAGTCAGCAAAACTCTTATAGCGACTTACCTCGTCAACCCAAGCGACAGCGCGTCCGCGTGTATTCTGTGATGAAAAAGAAACAAGTCCGTCGCAGGAGTCGCTATAAGAGTATATTAATATGCAAATTACGGAGCATCCTATCCCAGCTGTCGACGAATGGAAAAAATAGGTTCTGCCGATAAAAGCAGTTGGTGTTTTCGACTCGGGAAGGAAAATTCGGGCATTTTGGCTACGGCGTTAAGTGAGTTATTTTCCTGACGCGTTACAAGTGATTTTCTTTCTTTGTGTTGTGAAAGCCACAAATTTGCTTTGAGAACGCTTACTCTTCAAGAAGCTATGTTACAGTGGTGGGAATGTGACTGAAGCCAAGATGACAGATCAGGACTAATAATATTGCAGATTCTTCTAAATGCATAGCAGAAGCACCAGAGCAGATGTGACAGCAATATTTATTGCCTGGATAAATGAAATATGGGTGATAATTTTTTCTTTTTACACTGAAATTCACCATGTACAAGGCCCAGAAGCCACTTGAGGTACAGGGTTACAGTGTAAGAGACACAGTTTATGCAGATAGGTGGGGGAAGATAATGGTTATTATCCATAGACTTGAACAGGTTAAGAGTGTAGTGATTGAGGAAACATCTTAGTTGGAGTCAGTTCCACAAGCAGCAGATTGAGTATGAACTTAGGCCTCACCAATGAAATACAGAGAGAATGAGGGTGGTTTGCCACAATGTGAGTGGCATGGCAGGTCCTAGCCATGAAGGGTAGAACTGGTGGAACCAAGGAATGCCGTTTGTCCAAGCACTTTTTATGGAAATACCAATAGATCAGTGAAAGTCTTGCCATATCCCGTCTATTGGGGAGTGGTTGCAAGGTGGAAAATAATTTGTCACCCACAAGGACAAGTAGACACTTTTTGGACTATCAAAACTGGAAAGTG